AAAAAAAAAAAAAAAAAAAAATAGCCAGGTGTGGTGAGAGCTCCTGTAGTCCCAGCTACTCAGGAAGCTACAGTGGGAGGATCACTTGAACCTGGGAGGTCATCCTTGCAGTGAGCTGTGATTATGCCACTGCCCTCCAGTCTGGGCAACAGAGGGAGACCCTATGTCAAAAGGTAAATAAACTTGTATCTATGTCTTGCTATCAAATTCTCTTATTTGAACTCAGGACTCTTTTAATCAAATCCTATATTTATACCACTAAAAAAATAATCTATTTGATGGAATGAAACCACTGTGAGTCCCCAGTGGTTCTAGGATACAGCACCTTTTAACACAGGTGCTTGTCCTGTGCACCCTGGTCCCTGGTTCAATAAGAACTTGTCATTTAAGCCCTGGGGTCTGAGAAAAGGAGACAGTGTGAACAGCTCTGATAGAGGAGGAGCAGAAAGAAGTCAGAAATCTGAACAGGATCAACCCAGGCTCTGACCTTTCCAGAGCTTTCCCCCAGCTCTGCCCTGTCCCCCCTCATCCATGCTGTGTCTCCTGGTCTCCCCTCACCCCTTGGTGACAGGGGTGCTGTGCACTCCCCTGTGGTTTATCCTGCAGAGGAAATTCAGTCTTTCCCAGGTTTATTCTGTGTCACTGCAGTCCATTCTCCACAGAAACTGAGTTTCTTTCTCACTGAGTGACCTCCATGTGCTCAGGTAGCACTTAAGACCTTTTCTGTCACAATTGTTTTTTGATTATCCATTTAGCAGCATTTCCACAAGAAGAGTTGGAAAGACTAACAAAAACTTAAGTAATATTTCTTCTGATTATGAAAATAATCTGGCCTGGCGCTGTGGCTCACGAATGTAATCCCAGCACTTTGGGAGGCAGAGGCGGGAAGATCTTGAGGTCAGAAGATTGAGACCATCCTGGTCAAAATGGTGAAACCCGGTGTCTACTAAAATACAAAATAAAAATTAGCTGGGTGTGATGGCACACGACCATACTCCCAGCTACTCAGGAGGCTGAGGCAGGGAAAGGGCTTGAACCCAGGAAGTTGCAGTGAGCAGAGATCGCGCAACTGCATTTCATCGTGATGAAAGAGCAAGACTCTGTCTCAAAAATAAATAAATAAATAAATATCTTAGGCCAGATGCGGTGGCTCATGCCTCTAATCCAAACAGTTTGGGAGGGCTAGGCAGCTAGATTGTTTGAAACCAGCAGTTCAAGACAAGCCTGGCCAACATGGTGAAACCACAACTTTGTATTTTTAGTAGAGACGGGGTTTCACCATATTGGCCAGGCTGGTCTTGAACTCTTGACCTTGTGATCTGCCCACATCGGCCTCCCAAAGTGCTTGGATTACTGGAGTGATCCACTGTGCTTGGCCCTAAACAATAACATATTTACTTTGCAATCTTTTTTTTTTTTTTTTGAGCTAGAGTCTTACTGTATCATTCAGGCAGGAGGGCATGAAGTGCAGTGGTGCAGTCTCTGGTGAATGCATCAACAACCTCCTGCGCTGGAATGATCCTCCCATCTGAGCCTATGTACCAGATGGGATGACAGGTGCATTTTTTTGGTACATTTTGCAGAAATGAGGTTTTTACCATGTTACCCAGGCTGGTCTCAAATTTCTGGACTCAAGTGATCTGCCTGTCTCAGCCTCCAAAAGTGCTGGTCAACCAAGCAAGATCCCCATCTTTATTTTAAAGAAAGAAATTTCCAGCCTTTTTTTTTTTTTTTTAGAGTTTCTCCCTCTCACTCAGGCTGGAGTGCAGTGGCATGATATCAGCTCACTGCAACTTTTGCCTCTAGGGTTAGACAAATCCCTCCCCTCAGCCTCCCAAGTAGTTGGAACTACAGCCATGTACCACCATGCCTGGCTAATTTATTATTTTTTAAAACTTTTATATTTTATCAGCAGAAAGCGCAAATGCAGTCCCCCACTATCACAAATTATGCGGTCCAGTTTCCCTCATTTGGGAAAATCTCAGGGGTTAGCACATCCAGAGTGCAATAGATGAGCCTTGCCCTGGGAAAACCACCTTCATAATCATGGTATTTCCCCTGCCAGGTAATTTTTGTATTTTTAGTAGAGACAAGGCTTCACCATGTTGGCCAGGCTGGTCTCAAATTCCTGACCTCAGGTTGACCACCCACCTCAGCCTCACAAAGTGCTGGGATTACCGGCACGAGCACCGCACCCACCCTCACATATATCTGTTTTTCAAAGCTCTTCACACTTGGTATCATTTATTTTTTTATTGGAGACAGGGTGTCACTCTGTGGCCCAAGCTGTGTAAGTGGCACAACCACAGCTTACTGCAAAAGATGCTTTCTTGGTTCAAGTGATTCTCGGGCCTCATCCAACTGAGTAACTCGGATTACTGGCACACTCGGGTAATTTTTGCAGTTGTTTTAGTAAAGACTGGGTTTCACCGTGTTAGGCAGGCTGGCCTCAACCTCCTGATCTCAAGTGATCTGCCCATCTCAGCCTCCCAAAGTCCTGGGGCTACAGGTTTGAGCCACCGTGGCCAGCCCATTCCTACTATTATTTAATTATATTTGTTATTGTCCAACAATTTACACTTGGAATTGATATTTAGTTTCCAAGTATATGTCTAAACACTTATTTTAAATTTAAACAACAGTGTATATATATAGATATACAGATATATATATATATATATATATGTTTTGTGTATGTGTGTATATATATGTATGTATGTATATACATGTGTATATATATATGTGTGTATATATATATATATATATATACACACATATGAGATGGAGTCTCACTCTGACACACAGGCTGGAGTGCAGTGGAGTGATCTCAGCTCACTGCAACCTCCTCCTCACAGGTTAAGTGATTCTCCTCCTTCAGCCTCCCAAGTAGCTGAGACTACAGGTGCCTGCCACCATGCAAGGCTAATTTTTGTAGTTTTAGTAGAGACAGGGTCTCTGTGTCTGCTGGTCTTTACCAGGGACTATGTTTATAATTCGTTGCTCAGAGAGAATTGGCAAGAATAGCTTAGAGTGCAAATGGGGTTGGTGCCAGATGGCCTGGGGGTCAGTATTGTCCGAATCAGATACTGGAATTGATGACCCCTCACTCCAAGGCACCTTCTATTCAAATGATTGTAGTTAATGCGATATTGACAACTACTAAGGAATCTGTATCTTTGCATACAGGAGGGCCCTGAAAAGAGTCATTGTTTAGCCGAGCACAGTGGCTCACGCCTGTAATCCCAGCACTTTGGGAGGCCGAGGCGGGTGGATCACGAGGTCAAAAGATCAAAACCATCCTGGTCAACATGGTGAAACCCCGTCTCTACTAAAAATACAAAAAATTAGCTGGGCATGGTGGTGCGTACCTGTAATCCCAGCTACTCAGGAGGCTTAGGCAGGAGAATTGCCTGAACCCAGGAGGCGGAGGTTGTGGTGAGCCGAGATCGCGCCATTGCACTCCAGCCTGGGTAACAAGAGCGAAACTCCGTCTCAAAAAACAAAAAAGAGTCATTGTTTAGTGAATATTTACTGGCTGGCTGAGATTCCTGCAAAAGCCTAACTCTGCTACAGTGTTGTCACTTTAAAGTTCGGGTATAGTTCACAAAGTCTATTCACATGTGCTACAGATAATTTTAAGAATTCAAGGCTGGGCTTGGTGGCTCACACCTGCAATTCCAGCATTTTGGGAGACCCAAGTGGAGAGATCATTTGAGTCCTGGAGCTCCAGACCAGCCTGGGCAACATAGGGAGACTTCATCTCCACAAACAAACAAAAATTTAGCCAGGTGTGGTGACAGTGCCTATAGTCCCAGCTACTCAGGAAGCCACGGTGGGAGGATCACTTGCACCTGGGAGGTCAAGGTTGCAGGGAGTCCTGATTATGCCACTGCCCTCCAGCCTGGGCAACAGAGGGAGGCCCTGTGTCAAAAAGTAAATAAACTTTTGTACCAATGTCTTCCTATGAAAATTTGAACTTAGGACTATTTTCATCAAATCCTGTATTTACACCATCCAAAAACAATTTATTTGATGGGATGAAACCACTGTGAGTCCCCTTTGGTTCTAAGATACAGAATCTTGCTTTGTCCACCAAGCTGGAGTTCAGTGGCATGATCTCGGCTCACTGCAACCTCTGTCTTCCGGGTTCAAGCAATTCTTCTGCCTCAGCCTCCCAAGACCTGGGTGCATGCCTGTATACTCAGCTAATTTTTGTATTTTTAGTAGAGACGGGGTTTCACCAAATTGGTCAGGCTGGTCTTGAACTCTTGACTTCTTGATCTGCCCATCTGGGCCACCAAAAGTGCTGGGATTACAGGTGTGAGTCACTGAGTCCAACCGATACAGCACTTTTTAATACAGGTGCTTGTCCTGTGCACCCTGGTCTCTGCTTCAATATCAACTTCTCACTTAAGCCCTGGGGTCTGAGAAAAGGATACAGTGTGAGCAGCTGTGATAGAGGAGGAGCAGAAAGCAGTCAGAAATCTGAACAGAATCAACCCAGGCTCTGACTCTTCCAGAACTTTCCCCCAGCTCTCCTCTGCGCCCCTCTTCCCTGGGGTGCCTCCTGGTGTCCCCTCACCCTTGGGTGACAGGGGTGCTGGGTACTCCCCTGTGGTTTATCCTCCAGAGGAAATTCAGTCTTTCCCAGGTATTCTTTGTCACTGCAGTCCATTCTCCACAGAAACTGAGTTTCTGTCTCACTGAGTGACCACCATGTGCTGATGTAGCACCAAAGGCCTTTTCTGTCACAATCATTTTTTGATTATCCATTTAGCAGCATTTCCACAAGAAGAGCTGGAAAGACTAACAAAAACTTAAGTAATATTTCCTCTGATTATGAAAATAATTTGGCAGGGCACCGTGCCTCAGCCATGTAATCCCAGCACTTAGGGAGGCAGAGGCTGGTAGATCATGAGGTCAGGAGATTGAGACCATCCTGGCCAATATGGTGTAACCCAGTGTTTACTAAAATACAAAATCAAAATTCACTGGGCATGGTGGCACGTGCTCCCGGCTACTCAGGAGGCTGAGACAGGGAAATGGCTTGAACTCACGAGGTTGCAGTGAGTGGAGATCGTGCCACTGGACTCCAGCCTGGTGGCAGAGTAAGATTGTGTCTCAAAAACAAACAAACAAATAAATAAATAAATAAAAATCTTAGGCCAGAGGCGGTGGCTCATGCCTGTAATCCCAACATTTTGGGAGGCCTAGGCAGGCGGATCATTTAAAGACAGGAGTGCAAGACAAGCCTGGCCAACATGGTGAAAGCTCGTCTCTATTAAAAATACAGAAATTAACCAGGCATGGTGACACACACCTGTAATTCCAGCTACTTTGGAGGTTGAGGCAGGAACCTGGGTGGCAGACGTCACAGTGAGCCGAAATGGCACCCGCTGCACTCTAGGCTTGGTGAGTGGGTGAGACGCTTTCAAAAAAAAAAAAGGAAATAAAAGTAATTTTAGTTTTAGAAGATTTGGAAAATCCAAGGAAAGCAGAAGGAAGAAAATAAAATGATCTGTTAGTTCACGTCTGGGAGGAATTGTTAGGATTTTGTAGTAGGCTCCTGTTGAGTTTCTATTTAGTCATGTAACAAGGCACACTTTACTAAGATGTGAATGTACTGAACATTTTGTTCCAATCTTCCTTTTCACCTAAATGTATTATCAGTATTTAAGCATATCAGTCACTTTTGTCTGCCTTGTTTTGTTATCTATTTATTTGTTTTTTTGAGACAGAATCTTACTCTATCACCCAGGCTGGAATACAATGGAATAATCATAGCTCACTGCAGCCTTGAGCTCCTGGGCTCAAATGATCCTCCCACTTCAGCCTCCCAGGTAGCTGGGACCACAGGTGCATCCTGCCATGATCAGCTAATTTACTTAGAATTGTTTTGTAGAGACAGGATCTCCCTATGTCACTAGGCTCCTCTCAAATTCTTGGGCTCAGGTAATTCTTCCACCGCGGCCTCCAAAAGTGCTGGAGTTACAGGTATGGGCCAACGGGCCTGGACTTGTACCATGTTTTTTAGATGTATATATTTATTTTATATGCTAGGGAATCGTAGATGTTTAGTTATTGAAGAAGCGAGTTAATGTGGAAAATAATAAAATATAGTACATGTCTAAACACTTTATTTTAAATTTAAACAACAGTATA